ATGCTTTTTTCCCTTTAAGAAAAAAATAAATCTAATAGTGGTAAAAATAACTCCAAATACTCAGACATTTATAGGAGTGAACTGGAAATCTTTACTACTCTTAAATGCTTCTAACACACAGCACATTCTTGTATATAGGAAAGTTTTCTTAGTGGTGAAATTCTGAATGAATATATCAGTTTAATTTGCACTGAAAATATATGTTTTAATTCTCCCAACTCTGTGATCAATGCAGTAGCAGCTGGATCTTTTTCTTGTTATATAATGCTTTACAGTTTGTTCAGATGTAGAGTAGACCTTACTGTCAGAGTACTTTGAAACAGAATGTTTGCCGGCAGAGGTTTTTATTTCAGAAGTTTTGTCTTTGCTTTTCACCATCCAGCTCTGTTTTTATTGGCACTAAATTAAACTACTGTTCTTCAAATTCAGTCTGTTTCACTTTGTAGTTGGTCAGTCATATCCTCATCTTTATCTCAACCCACAAGTTTCTTCTCCCTACTTTTTCCCCCTATTCCATTGAGGAAGGGATGTGAAAGAGCTGCTGGATAGCCAGCTGAGGTTGGCTCACCACAATGTGCCAGGTATGATCACTCAAATTTTTGCAAGGAGAAATTCCCTTCACTATTTTGAAATAAAGTCTTTGGCTCCAGCATCAAATTTCCTTCACTAAGTCTTCTTCAGTAATACCAAAATGATCTATAGTTCTCGTTAGAGACCTTAACTCTCTGAAAATGCCAAAATACAAAACACATGCAGTCACACAACACTTTTTTTCTCAAGAAAAGAAACCTCTTTTTTTTGTTTTTTTCTTTAGCTAGTAAAATAAATACTTTTAAAGTTCTTAATGTTGGACCAGAAAGGCAAAAATGTACTTTGTGTCAGTGCTGGCCCACTTTCCACTTCCCCTATGCTGGTTACAGAGTTCTCATTATTTCCTGACCTCTCAGTTATTTTTTTCCAGTTTCACTCATGTTGGTTTTTTGTATTTGTCTTTTAAAGCCCAGTGCTTGGGCACATTCTCTAGTCATATGTAAATAATTCTGMATAGTTCACTCAAACAAATCCAGACATGTCTACATGTTTGAAATCTATACAATTTCTCTTCCTCTTTATGGTGTATTTATGCAATATTGACTTGCAAAAAGAATTGCCCCTCAATGCTTGCACCAAAGCTCTCTGCTCCTTTATCTGTGCCTATATAGAGTTTAGTCTGATAATGAAGCAAACAGGGTCACTAAAATGACCTTGACTTAGAAATAGGGATCTATTCCCTCTTTCCCTTTTTTCCCCCAAGTATCAGAAAAAGACAATTTTCATCCTCAGTAAAATTCATGCTCTTACTTCTAGGAGGTCATCGTGAAAAGTAAGCATGACAAATCTAAGACATACATATAATTTTTCGTAAAAAAAATGTTTAAATCACTGTAGTGTTATTAAACGTAAAAGGAGACAGAATTCAGGACAATGTGGTACAGTAGCAAAGAGACATGCTAGCCACAGTGTCTCATTTCTGGTACTATAGTCACTCTACACTTGAAATCCACCCTACATCTAGACATAGTTTTCCTTAATCTTTTTATGTAAGCAGCAACATCAGCAAAAGCCTACCAATAAAATCTTACTGCAAATTTCTTTTTACAGCCCTAATTTCCTGATGTTTTTGAAATGCTAGTGTAATTGAGAAGGGGTTGGAGGATTGTGTGTACTTTTCACTGCAAAACACTAGTATTTCCAAAGTCAGAATGAAAGGATATTTATGACATAAAAGTTACAGCCAGATGCTGCTGTCACTATCTCAAAATATAATCAGACTGCATGAAATGGGCTAATATGGCCTCTGTGGTGCATAGTTTTATACTATTAAGAGTAACTTAAAAATAATGGAAACTGATATTGATGGGATCTGTTCTTGATTGTGCACAACAAGGCAGCCAGGAATGCTTAAGGAAACCAAAACAACAATAAAAGTAAATTAAAGATCTAGTTGCAGGCCGCAGATGACTCTTATTTCTCCTACCACATTTTCAGTAAAAATTTGGCAGGTTAGTAAATTTACTTAGCATCTTTAATGGTCTTCTGAATATGAATGCTATGATTAAACACACAACTGAAAAAAACTGTTTCAGGCTGTTAAACTATATAAGATAGTGTAATAGAATTGAGGAAGCTGAACTGGAGGTAAARTTTTAATACTTGATAGGAGGTGTTCATAGGTAGATACAATGACAAATATGTTCTAAATAAAGCTGGAGAGGACAAAAGGACAGAATAAAACGTAGTATTYCTATTAGCCAGAGTGCTAATTTTTACATTCTGCACAGTGTTACTCAGAAAGAATTGAAGAAATGAATGTACAGTATGATCACTCTCAAGCCTCAGATACCAGTGTATACAAAACCATTCACAAAGTAGTTACATCTGCATAATCTGCRTAGATCAGGATATAGATAGTTATAAAAATGGATAGAATTTCTTGCTTATACAGTAGAATTACAGTAAAAACTCAATGAAAAAACTGTTCTCCCATTTCATTACTGAAACAAAAATAAAGGAGAGTAAGGAAATTATTTTTTTTAATTTGAAAATGCTTTACTTGTAACTATACTTTATATACCAAACAAGATCAAAATGTGTTTTTTGCAATTTTTCTTAGAATTTTGGAAACATTCCTAGCTTGATTCATAAAGAAGCCTTTCAACATTCATGTGGTCTAAAACTTATTACAATTTCCTACAGGAGGCATGTAAGCATTGTCAAGTTCATTGCAGCACTACTGATTTGTTACATGGCTGCTTGTTTTGTTCAATGGATCAGTTGGGTTTTTTAGGTTACATATACACTTGCACTGCTCATGTTTCCCAGCTATACTTCAGTGTTTCACTTTTTAACACTGGAGAATTTAACTGAAAGCAAGTTTTAAAACAGATGGTTTTAATTGCAGCAAARTCCATACTCTACTGCACTATAGCTATCAGAAGTTTTGCCTAACTTACTGAGGAAAAACCCACAGCAATTCAACCCAAACCAAAGGTTTCTTCTAGATTTTGCAGCAAGCTGTGGAAACAGTCTTGAGAGGTAACATCTACATTGAATTGTTAATTTATTTCTGAGATATTCCAATCTCAAGAAACTAAGAGAACACTCAAGTCTTGTCCTAGCATGACACTGTAAGTGGTACCTTCAGGACTGCATCTTGTACTGTCTCCCATACCCTCCAAACATTAGTTCTCCCCAAGACAAAAGGTTCATTTAGGGGGGGCTGATAGCAGCTGATAAGCAGCACAGTTGCAACCTCAGATACTGAGAAAGATGTGGTTGTGTGTAGCTGCTTTATTGCTGGTKTTCACTGCTCCTGCTCCAAAATGCATTTCAACTTCAACAAGAGAAAGCAGCTTGACAGTCAGTGCTGACTTATTTAGCCTAAGAAATTTCTTGGACATAACACAGATGAACAGATCTAAGCAACAGGAGGAATGCAGRACAACATGGACTTCAAGATGGCAGCAGAGGAAAAAGAGTCCTCCACAGTAGGTTTAACCTGTTTTTCCAAGTTTGCCACAGGAAAAAAAGCCTACTTGGCAGGAGTTAAGCGAGTTTCTATGGACACTGCAGAGACCCAAAGCTGCAAGATAGATATTGAAATTCTTCTTGCATGGGTCGGGTCAATCTGTGAATATCCATGCAAAGGATCTGTACTGACATTTATGTTCAGTCTGAAAGAGGCAAATTATCCTAGTGAGAGAAGACAGGTGAATTCAAGTATCATGTCTTACAGAAATAACCACATGTTCATAACACTTCTGCAGCAGAGCTCAGCACCTGATGTCTCTGCTTCTGGATCCATTCCAAACATCAGTTGTGCTGTGGTTTGAAGACACATTGCCAGCATGGCTGAGGCTCTCCACATATCTGGCATAACTTTAAATATAGTGCATAATATCTCTGAGGGACTTGTGGTGTACCCCAAGGTGATTGGAAGGGGAATCTGGCAGTAGCTATCATTCATAACCACAGAGAATATAATCATGGTTATGGTGTAAGTACAGAGCACTTGGCAGCTGTGATGTGAGATATTTGTCCTTTCCCAGAAGTCAACTGCTGTTGTAAGACATGAAATGACGATAATGACTTCATTGTCCATGTCTATTTTGGTGCCTCCCAAAGAAGGAGATAGAAAATGAGAGCAAGGTCTACACCACTTGCCCTGGATGCSAGATTACCTTTCAATTTGGTCCCTCAAAGGTTATGTTTGCAAGGTTGAAGAGACATGGCTCACCTGAATGTGTGCAAAATCGAGGACATGAACCTGATCTCCAAGAATGTCAGGGACAGCAAAAAACTGTTTAACATGACACAAATCCTGAGTAGCCTCCAGGTTTGGAATCAACAGAACTCAGAAATCAACTCGGAACATATCAAAGGCTTCTAGGAGGATCAGATAAGACTTACCTTGGGGTGTGACATTTGACACTGAACAATCTGAAACTGGATACCAAACATATGCTGTTGGTGCCTTAAAGGAAAGAATTAYGAAACTCCCCACCAATCTGTAGTACTCCTCAGAATTGCTCTAATTAATCTCTATAAAGTACACAGTGGTAATTCAACAATTAAATCTTCTTTTATCAGAAGTTATAGAAATCTATGGATAAATAAAATCCTTAATCCATAGATATGAAAATTTCAAATGATGGTTTTGGATTCCTTTATTTCAAAATGAATTTTTAAAACTCCATGTTAATGCCTTTACTTATCTTTTTCATAAATTTCAGACATCCTGCCAAATAAAGAAGGGAGCCTGTTTTTCAGATTATGGTATTGGAAATAATCAAAACTTGTACATAAAATAATTACTGCTATCATCAGCTTACAGTTTGCCTTATTGGAAATCTTAGTAATGCATTGACTTTTTTTCTTTCAGAAATTAGAATCTCCTCTCATATATTTGAATGCTGTGATTTCATCAGCTAAAAGGTAAAATGAATTTGACATGTACTCACTTATTTTATTTCTCATTTCATTCAGTTGTTCTCCAAGGCATTTAGCTTCATCAAATCTGTCAATGCAAGCATAATGATACAGAATTATTCTAAAGAACAACTAGTTACACAMGTTGATCACAATACAATACAGAACTACTCAGTACTATTTTTTAATTTGTAAGTCAAGAACTAATTGGAAACAATTTTCCATTAGGAAAGTTTGTCTCATCTAAGAGAAACRATCTAGAATATTCTTGATCTAGACAAAGTAACACAGGAAATCCACAAATTGTACTTCTGTCCAACTCAAAAAGTGTCAAAACAGAGTAAAGAAATAYGGCTTCTCCTTACAAAGGCAGGATTTGAAAAATTGCCCCTTCTCAATTAGTCCATTTCCTCATAAGACTGGAACAAATTAGAATTTCAAGTGCCTTCACTGGTATCTTCTCACAAACATTTGCTTCCAAGGCTCAATGGCTGAAGCTGGAGAGTTCCTGAGTACTTATTCTTTCTTACATAAAAAAGGAAGAAGCCAYTGAAACTTTTGTGAGCTTATAAAAGCTTTTTTCTACTGGTGTTAACTTAGAGCCCCAAGCAGGCATTGAGGATTGTGTAAATATCAAAGGGAAGAAGCTCTAAAGTACCTCTGTCTTTCTTTCCCTCTGGTCCTGTGAGCCAAATAGTAAGTTCATCAATTGTCAATTCCTGAGACAAATCTCACGTTGGCTATTGACTCTGATTCATGTTCACAGAGAGATTTATCTGGACAAGTTGAAGCTAGCCATCTATCCAGCCCTCTCTGCCAATAGCTGAATAGGTCGTTCATCTGTTTTTCAAACACAATAGTTTATAAACCAGCACAATAACATAAACTGAATCTTGGCATTAATTTATGGCATTTCAACAGATTCCATCTGTGACTATGAATCATAGTAAAACAAAATAAACCAGGTAAAGACACAAGATTTGACTCTAATATTGAATGGGAAACAGCTATTGCCAATACTTCTTTAATAAAAAAAAAAAAAGTGGCATTATCTAGCATTAAGGTGATATTGCTGTGAATAGTGATGAGCAAACAATCATATTGCTGGCTGAAAAAATTTCATGTGTATCTTATATGGAGACCACTCAACAGAAAGGCTAAAGTTGCCAAATCATGGCTTCTATTACCAAGAAAATAAATACTTCATGAAAAAAACCTAGTGAATTTAGCCACTAATTTTAGTGGAAAAAGCGTTTTTGGCAAAGATTTCGCTCTTTGAATGCAAATGCCAGTAATTAAAATATAAACATCTTGAAAAACAAATTTCTAACTCATTATGTAAACCAAGAAAAACTCAGAGGCTGATTAATGAGAAAGTGGMGACATTCAGTGAATTAAATGAATATTCATTCGTTTTTAATTATTAGAAATTACAACAAGAAGTGACCCAAGTGAAACTCATCCTTTCCATGAAACTTGCCCATATGTACTGAAAAAATGAGTTAGATGTTAACCAGCTAAAACACAGAAAGCAAGGAAGGAAGAAAATGGAAAAAGTTAATGGAGAACAACAAAATGGAAACTAGATCTACATCACATCTGTAAGGTCAGTAGCATTTTACTACCAGAAATATTAACTAAGATGCGATTTATAAGCTTCATGCAACATGCAATATTACATTGGAGTGGCACAACTAAGAAGATTTCTTGGTAGCATATTTCACCAGAAAATRGGAGGCATTTATGTCCTCCTCAGAGAAACAATCCTAAGAGAACATAGTTGCATTAAGAAATAATTCTCTGGAACTATTAGCTAATCCTATCTTAATAGGATAGCGTGAATCTATTTTCTTTCACTTGAATTATCTTTCACTATATCTGTTTCACCACTTTTTAAATCCAGAGACATTTCTGAATTACAGTTTAAACTACAGCACCTGTGAAGAGGTCTGAAGTAATAGGTGAAAAGCTTCATTCAAAACCAGATTTTTTTCTTATATATATATATATTTAAGAAAACAAATGCTTTCCAGTATTTTAATTAACTGACTGGTTTTTGATTACTTATACACAAATAGTTACAGAAAAAAATACATGTATATTGTATGACTACATACAGTCACAGCTATATGAATAATTTCACAGCCCAAGCAACAATTGGGACCTTCACAGTGAAATTTCCAAGTAGGGTCACTGACAGTTCACCGTTCAATTAATAAAAGAATGATATAATGCGTACTTGATGTCTTACCGGGATGTGACAGGGGCTTCTGAGGCAATAAGAGCCAACATGGAAATGCAAGGGAAATAGTTCAAAGGAATTAAGGGGTGCTCTTCTAAGATGGACTGGCTAACAGCTGAGGTACCTTTATACCAATGCCTGCAGCATAGGCAACAGATGGGAGAAGCTGAAAGTCACCACGCTACTAGAAAACTAAGATTTAGTTGTCATTACTGAAACCGGGTGGCACAATTCCCATAACTTGTTGGCCTATCAATTGCTACAAGGTTGTCACAAAAGACAAGAGAGGAGGAGGGGTGGAGAGGTTGCTCTCTAAATCAAGAGGAGGACTGAGTGTGAAGAGCTGTCTCTGAAGAATAGGTARATTTCTGCAGGCTGATAGCTGATGGGTAGGAATCAAGAGATGGAGGTGACAAAGGGAGCTGAGTGGCTGGCACCTACCACAGGATACTAAAGGGGAGCCTAYTGACGAACACTTCTTGGCCCAGATAACAGAGGCACCACACTCACAGGCTCTTGTCCATCTGGACGACTTCAAACATGCCAACATCTGCTGAAAAAGTGGCATAGCAAGCAGCAGGCAATCCAAGAGACTCCTGGAATGCACGGAGGATAACTTATTAAGCAAGGTAATAGCCTTGCCAGAGAGATGTGATACTGGACTGTATTCCCTTCCACCACCCCTGGTCATGACACAGGATGGTCTTGAATAACAGGATAACAGCGTGATCTGGTGCCTCTGAGGAGGGATGCCAAAGGAAACACTGGACCCTCACAGTCAAAGTGTGTGAAAGCCTCTGCTCTTCCTCCTGAGATACTGGCTCCTACTGTGTCTCTAAGTGTCTGTTCATTTGGTTGGCACCAAAAGTCCCTGTGCCTTTCATAATGCAAAGGGTCAGTGCCAGTTCAAGGCAGTTCAAGTGCCAGTTCTTGCCTCAGGCTCCTGCCAACCAGAGCCTGAACTGTGGCTGAACATCAAACTGTTAGCACTAAATGTATTCAACAGTACTGTGTCCWGTTCGGGAGCAGAGGGAAGATATGAACCTGTTACAGTGGGTCCAGAGCAGGACCATKAAAATCATCAGAGCGCTAGAACACCTCTCCTAGGAAGACAGACTGAGAGACTTGGGGTTGTTCAGCCTGGAGGGGGCTCCAGCATGATCTTCTTGCAGCCTTTCAATATTTAAAGGGGTATTATAAGAAAGATGGGGACAAATGTTTTAGCAGGGACTGTTGTGATAGGAAAAGGGGTAATGCTTTATGGTAGATTTAGACTCTGTGTAAGAGAGAATTTTTTACAATGAGTGGTAAAATACTGGAACAGGTTGTCAGAGAAGTGGTGGATGCCCCATGYATGGAAATATTCAAAGTTACTCTTGACAGGCTCTGAGCAACCTGATCTAGTAGAAGATTTCCTTGCTCATTGCAGCAGGGTTGGACTAGATGACTGTTAAAGATTCCTTCCAACTTAGATTATTCTCTGACTCTATGATAATTAGCAAGCCAATAAAATCTACCCAAAATACCCAAAGGAAAAAGAAAGACTGCTAAAAATAAGCAATTTGTGAATCAAACACTGTTTGTGGTATGACARAAGTGGTTATGCAACTATAAACAAAATTATTAACAGGAGAAGTCTACATATAAAGGGAAACTATGGTAACCTTTAAACATGTGGTGTCCACACTCTTCTTCCTGTGCAATTTGAACACTGGCTGGGTAACAGAACTTTTGTGTAACTGGTAGTTCAGAGGCTGCATTCCAAATTACAGACTGGACTTGATATGAATCCATTCTAATGAACTTGGTAAACTTGTAGCTTTGAGGATCTTTGCTAAAAATGTCTTCAAATGGCAGGGCAAACTGCCTTGCCCCAGAGTATCAAAATTCACATCAGCACTGATTTCAGCCATCAGCTGATGCCTATTAGAAAGGGGTTACACAAGGCATTAGTTTGAATCTCCCTGTCCTTTAAGGAAAGCAAATCTGTCATCAAACTTCATAGATTCTGCTCATTTCTATTATATTCTGAAACCAGAAGGAAATACTGGTTTGCTTCATAGCAGTAACAAACAGAAGAAATACAGAAGAATTGTGATTAACTAGAGGAAAGGCAARGCATGGCTCAGAACTGTATTGCTCCCATCATCATGCTGTAACTATGAAGTGTTCTGTTTAATAGCAACATCAGAAATTACTACAGTGTAATAATTTATGCAGTGATGATCCAGTGATGATGCAGTGGCATTATCTGAAATATTGATCAGAAGAAAGAGATTGCTAACCATCCAGTTTACATGGGTAAATTCTTGCATACATCTCATACCTTAGCAATTTGTATTCCTCTGGCTGAGTTACAGATCCAGGTAAAAAGTTAAGRAAAAGTGATAAATAGCAAGAACTTGAGTAAGTTCCACAAAGATGTGGAGAAAATTTCTTGCCTCAATTTCACTGAAGTAAATGAGTATAAGACTTGGTGACCTTGAAAACAGTATCTTTCTTGCCTGTGAAGTCAGAAAATTATGTTAAAGAAAGCAAGAGGAAGCAGAAGAAACCTGGAGAATGAGAAAAGCCCAGGACAAAAAACCCCACAAAAACCAAACCAAACCACAACAACCAAACCAACAAAAACAAAAKCCCAAAATGAACCAAACAAAATCCTCAACCAAACAGAAAAAAAACCCAAACCAACCTCCCCCCAAGCAACTGTTAGTTACAAGGATAGACTGAGAGATCTGCTTTTGGCATCTGCAATCTCAAAGCCTTGTATTTCTTTTGCAGTACTAGGAGGGTTAATACTTGAGAAGCTGACACTTTTGAAACAGTACTGTTATCCAATCAACATAGACAAGTGTTGGTGGTTTAATTTGTTTAAMGTTTAAAATCTGTATGAAAATTCATGTTTTCAATGTTTTGCCATTCTCACTATCTTCACCAGACGTGTGAAGTGTTTTGCCAACATCAACAGCAAATGTGGAGGAGGAAAGTATTATTTCTGTTTGTGAATGCAAAGCTGGCAGAGAGAAGCTAAAATCACTTGGCAGACAGGTTAGGAACACCAGACAGATGCATATGTTTAACATCTCCTAGCTTACTATCCAATTCAGGGCTGAAGCCAGTAAAGCATTTTTGACAATGGAAACTGCAGTAAGTGATTCAGTCACATGGATTTTACTTCCTCTAGATAATACTTGATCATGAAGCCATTGCCACGTTGCTTCAATATGGCTGTAAAGATGAATAAAACCAGTGCAAATATGCKCCAAGATTCCTCATGCTACTTTCACACCCTATCCAGACTTCTATCACCACTTGGTGCCTTCTGAATATGAAATGTCCTAAGTAAGAAAAGGAGAAATGCCTGTACCAAGTCCTCAACAGAAGCCTGGGACGTCTGGAGTAAAATCACATGTTCCTATCCAGACCAGTAATGAACCTTGGATGTCTTCCACCAGCTGCATTTTGCTGTGACACTCACCTCTGTTTCAGAAGCTCTTTGTTGTCCTCAATGGTTATACTGTCAGCATGGTCCCACTTGAAGACTTCAAAAGCTTCCTGACATCCAAGCGACATCTTTCCTCCTGCCCCAAGGTAAAATAAGTGAACTATTCAGAATCATCAAAAGACAGACATTTTGCACTTATTTAGATCCTTTTTAGATAAAGGCAGCAAGTCAGCCCAGGGGTGGGTCTTAAAGCAAAAGGAAGACAAGTTTGGTTTTCCACTGATGGGAAGGCATTTTTGACAAAACATTTCTGTTATCTGACAAATAAATTATTTCATTTCACTTCTCTAAAGTCTGAATGCTTGAGGTATATGATTTCTCAAGATAATTTTAAATGATCATAAGTAAAATCAAACTTTGAACATTTAAAATATGTTTACTTAAGAAATATTCTTAAGTCTGAGCCAGAGGTATTTTCACAACAGYATAATGCAATTTGCTTCTTTATTTCTTTCATCTCTTTCACACTGGACCCTAAATATATATTGAATATTTTCAGTATTTCTTGGAAGAAAAAGATCAGGCTTTTTTTAATTATGTATTAGTAAATACAAGAATTCTATCTGCAAAAATGGTTGGTGCCTGCCTCTTTACATTTCCAACATGGTGCTTGTTTTCTTTTGCGCATCAGAATGTTAAGACTTAATTGGCCTTCAAATCTTTAAAAATCACCAAAGAAAAATATTACAGTCTGTATTATTTTCTGTTCTCATTGCTAGATGATCTATAGATCCAAGTAAGATATCATGTATCTGTGTTATTATTAAGAAAATTTTTCAAAGTCTTAAGGAGAATGGAAGCTTATGCCAGCATCTGTGTTATCACCAGTATATATATGTCAATAAATAAGCAAGAATTTGCYCCCTGTTTCAGGCAAAAGAATCAGCACATCTGTTACTAATTCAAAAATTTTGAGTTGAAAATAGAACCACTAGGAATGTTTGAATGGCAAAGCATGCAGAAATGTTCCACCCTTTTTGAATAAGAAAATCAAAGAAAGATACAGTGTGGTATTTACTGTTGCGTGATCCAAAAGAGCAAGAGAATTTAGGAAAATATATTTTTCTGTGGTGATGACCTGAGAGTATAATGTTCATGTTTCATGTCTGCCTTGAAGAAAACCAGGCAGCTTTGCAAGCAGAATTTTATAGCGCATTCATCCCATCTCTAGCACTAATTTTAACATGCAACCTGAATTGACCCCCTAGAATTGCTTTTGTTGCTGAAAAAGCTTGTTTTAAGTGAAGAAAGAGAAAGCCTGGACAAAATTCATGATCAAGCCTAAGATAAACAGTGGCATGCCCTTRCTCATACATAACACTGCAATGTAAAATATTTAACTCTTCTGGCCATGTGCTGCCTTTGAGAGCACAAGTTRAAACAGTAAAGTAAGTTCGGAAAAYAAAGCTATTATAGTGATTAYTGCTACTGCCTGGCAGAAATGCATCAACCAAAATTAAAGGTAACCTGATAAGCATTTTCCAGCACTATCTTGAAGAGGCAGCAAATTTGTACATCCAAACAAAGCACATAAAAATAGATCCCCAGAACACTCRGGAAGGGGAAATTTTCTGGTTTAGGCAGTTCATTTTAAGAAAATACAGAAACATATGAAGTAGTAAACAAACCCATTATGAAAATTGTATAAAAGGAAAGAAACTTATAAAGGACCATTGWGATTGTATATCAGTATAATATGAGCATAAAACAGCTACAGAAGAATGTTGCAGCCTATGGGTAATTTAGGAAGATAATACAGGAAGACAACAATGTTAATAAAAGGCTGCAAGGGACATTGAAAGCTTGATGGAGTAGTTCTGTTCAGTGGTGAAAATGATTTCTTTTCCATGGTTGATGYGGTATCTTCAATCATGCTGTTTACACTCCCTTAAATAATCTGTATTTTATAAAAGAGTCTCATCTTCTTACAGATGACCTCCAAGTGCCATGGTGCATTAACATTATCGGCATGCTGCTTCTCCTGGGCTTAWATATAACGAATAAACTATATGTTATTTTAAACCAAGGTGTTGCTGAATTTGGTTTTCTCTAGCTCTGAAATTGAAATCTATGTACAGCAATACATACATTATATAAACAAAAAGAGAAGRAACCATTGATAAGGACAAAGTTTTGGCAGGATAGTGGAATAGTTAAGCTAAAACTGCTAGAGAAAACAATTTCTTTCACTCTTACAAGCCAAACAATTCCTCYTCTCCTTCTTAATTACCACAGCATAGCATTTCAAAATAAATATTTGAAAATTCTTATCTAAGGAAGAACCATTATATCCTGCAGGATGAGAACAAGGAAACACATGTCATCAAGCCATTACAATGTGAACTGGAATAATCATTACCAAAAATAACTCAGATAACTGGAAAAAGCATAAAAATTTCTTGCAATCACATTCATGAAACCCCAGTTGACAGGATTGCATTAAAAAGASATGTATTTTGTATCAACCTGATTTTAATTATACTTTTCCTGTTACGTTGTGTAACTTGGCTTTAATATTAAAACTCAAATATGCCCAACTCACACAATGTGAAATTCACAGCAAATGCATCATMATTTACAGCAAACTCAAACTGCTGAAATTTTGATAAAATTCAGGTTCAATCCACATGCTGAATTTACATGTTTAAAAATGTTCTCATTAAAGGTTTGATTTCAGTCTGTACTCCTGTCCAGTGAACTCACAACTTTCATATTCAGCAAAACAATATATTTCAAGAGCATTCTCTACTGAAATGTGCAAATTAGAGCTGTCCCACTGGACTTGGGTAAATCAGCAGGGTGGCAATGATGGCTCGCAAGCTCTGAACTAGAGCAACAAGATCTGAAATAACCAAGGAATAGAAAGGTTGCTGTAGTATTGATAATGGGCTAAATTTTTGAAAACTATAACAATGCAAAATACACTGAGCAAAAAAAGTAATAAGATTATTGCTGATTACTTTTTAAGGTAAGAAAAGACCAAAGAGATTTAAAGACTTATGTGTATGCCTATAGAAGGTAGAAGCCTACATATCAGCAGACACTSTGGCAGATATCACACACCAATTCTATACTGTTACATACAAAAATGCTGTTTACAGCCATCCAAAACACCAAATGTTAAATTTAAAGACACTTTAAATTTATAATAACATGGAAGGTATAGTGTGGTGCTGGGTGCTCAACTGACAGCAGAGAAATTATTTGGCTGAATGATATTTTAAAATTAAATAGTATYCTGTGAGTACTCAAGGACTCATTGATACTCAAGGCATGAAAGGGGATAAATATACATCTCATTTTGTGGTCTTAAGTGATCAAATAGGGTTTATATGACCATACTGATGGTCACATATTTACATGACCATACTGATTTTTAAATGCATCCAAAACCAACAAATCCTATTGTATTAGTAACCACAGTTTATAAATACTTGACATTTTAAAAGTACTTTATTTTAGTGTTTTTGGGTTTTTTTTTTTTTCAATGCAGATTTCAAGACTGCTCAATCTGGAAAGGGCACTTCCAGTCTTGAGTCTGGCCACYTTCTGTTTTTCAGTTTGTTTGTTGAAAAAGGGTTATTGCTCAGATGGAGAAGACCTTCATAAAGTTTAATGCATGAAACCCACAGAAAAAAAAAATTATATTGCTCTTCAGTTAGGTCTGGAAAAATGTGACAAACAACAGCACGAAACTGRTATCTTTGCCTGAAAACAGAACTACAGTGTCTCCTCACAACATTACCTTGTAAACAGGTTTTGGTACCGGTAGGAGAGCTCAGAGGGGGTTTCAGCAGYCCTCATGCCAGAGGCTGCCAGTTTAACCCACAAAAAGTTGGAAACAACTCTCCAGAAGAGAAGTATTAAGATTGCAAGTTGATCTGTTCTGAGGGAGGAACATTAAGACTTGAAAAAAGCAAACTCCTGGGAATAACAGTTCAGACAATGTATTCTAATGAGAAAGGCATCTGTCCACATATCTGCCCATGGATCTGTTTTGTGAAACTGTATTTTCACTGTAAAAGACTTTGTTGTTCCAATTTTTTTCCATTTTTACTAAGTGCTCTATTAGACAAGAATTTTCAATCTTTCCACTGAAATGAGGAGAAGCAAAGAGTCCCCTTCACTCAAGGAAAGCTCTCATTCAAGTGAGAGAAGTCTGAAGTATTTCAGGGTAGCAACTAGTGGGAATCTTGTGTCCTCATGCTTATGAAGACTGTCAGACTGTTTGGGAACAAAGGAACTTCGMAAAATTCCCAATAAAACTGAAGTAAAATTATTTGGTAAGTCTTTGCAGTAGAACTAAGGTATTAGAGGTCATGTAASCATAGTTACCAGGATCCATCAAGATATCATAGTCATGTGCTCAGAATGGAAAAAGATGTAACAGAGCTTGCAATAACGAGTCAATAAAGAATAAATACTTAAAAAATAGGCAAGCCAATAGGCAAGCCAAAACAATATATGACAAATACTTGCCCACTGCAAAGCTCAGCTAAATTTGTCATGAAAAGCATGTGTATTACGTATGGCTGCCTTCATTAGACTACAATTCAAAAATGGGAAAGACATAAAACAAGGTTGCTCACAGCACTCCTGTAGTATTGAACCACAAAGCATAGTTTCTGGAAAACTTAAAAGCCTCGAAGTAAAATGAGAATATTCAGACACAATGAATGAAAAAACCATGGGCATAAATTAATTTCTCTGACTCTGGAGTTTCTTTGTTTATTTACAAGGAAGGAAAAGGGTAAAATGAACAATTTGTTGAGATTGTGAGCATGTTTATTATGGTACTGAACATTAATCTAGGCAGGTCACACAGCACAACAMAAATGAAAATTCCCACTCTGGAAACCTTGAGCTATTTTGCGCATAGGCCTTACGTCTTCCGCATAAAATTAATTGATTGASAAGACAATCTATTTCATATATGTTGAAATAATTTATAAATAGAGGAGAAATCGCCATTCAATGAAACACTGAAAATGACTAACAGGAAAGAACAATCTTGTACAGGAGCATGTTGAACAAGAATCAAAGACAAGCACCATTTCTAGTGCAATTCACATCCCT